TGGCTAATTTGAATTCTCCCGAAGGCATTCAGAATATGTGTGCTACCCAAATAATGACTAAAAGTAAGTCTTTGAGAATAGTTTGCCTCGCGTAGGGATGTGCATTTCTGCCAAAAATGCCATTCGACAATCGAGGAGCAAAAGTCGAATATCGTAAAAAAAAAAAAAAAAACGCAATGACAGAAAGGGAGGCCAATTTCATCTTTAGCGATTTGTCATCAAACAAACTGTTTATTAATTGAACAAGTAACATGTTTTCGTCCTTTTTTTAACATAGTAGGCTAATTGGAAGAAGAAAAAAAACAATACGCACGACAGCCTGTTTTTGCATCGCCAATGCTCGTTAGATCAAAAAATAATGTCATCATATGTCATAGGAATTTTATGTGAACCTGCCTTGTTACTGCAATAGCCTCATTTTTAAACAAATTAGTTTCAATCAATGTAAACTATTCGTGTGATTATGCCCACTGCGCAATACACGCGCAATACACACACAATGTATTACCTGAATGAAATGAAATCGAATGTATCGTCCTGTGGAATCATTCATTCACAGACAGCTTACGAAGATGTTCAACTAATAAAGATCTTCGTCGCTGGCAAAAATATGATGCATTTGCAGATTTGCATTCACTAGACTAGACTATGTAGATCGGCCACTTCATCCAACGCTCTAGATGCTCTTAAATCTTCCTGTTTCGACTCCGAGTGTGAATTGAAAGCGCTTCAGACGATTCAGTGCGCGAGGAACTGAACAGATCAACTGATTCGCGAACCGATTTAGACAGATCATCTGACAACTTGTTTGATGAAGTCTTTGAACAGAATCGACTCAAAAGAGTGATTCATTTGTAAATGAGCATCGCTCATGCCCATACAAAGGACACAGAGCGCTTGGAATAAACTCATTTAACAACGTATTGCATTAAAATAAAGTAACGAGAGGAACGTCGCCCAACGTAACAAAGTAAAAGTACACCTTGTGTCCCTGACAGGAAAATACCCTACTGCGCGATCTGTGACAGTAGGCGCGGCGTCATAATACACATTAGAATTGCGCGAAAATATAACGATATTCGAAAAAGCTATTTATGATCCCAACCCAACTTTGATTAACGGCGATATTTTTTTTTATCGCCCGATAAGAGTCTCACGTTAACGCAGCACGTTAACGCCGATAACGGCCCAGCACTCGTTGAAACGCTCCTGTCAATCAACAATCGTGGGAGAGGCGTCCGACCGTGTGACGTCACACGGTCGAACGGCTCGATTTGAGAAAGGGGAAAACATATAAGGAGATATGTAAAAAAAAACACTGGATGGATTTTTATCATTATATGATGGGTTGTGTAGAGGCACTGCCAACACACATTTCAGTACAATCAACTTGTAAAAGTGCATGTACCATTATATGATCCATTTAAATATATTTTCCGGCCGCCACAGTCTAGTTGATGAATGGGAAGCACTGAAATCTATTTGTGGCTGTCAATGTTAATATTGTGGAGAGCCGCCACAAATAAATCAATGTATGGGAAACAGTGATAGGGATACATAGCTATTAATTTATGAAATCCACATTCCAATTAGAATGACATGGTTCATTTCCATGCTATACATTTTTGGCAATTAGTAGTTAAATTACTGTACATTTTATTGTGTAATTCTTTGAATTTTGGATATGATGTTGGGTACCTCTTGCCAAAATCCATATACTTGAAGGCAGAACTAATGGCAGAACTGCCATTACTAAAGGAGAAGGGTGAAATTCTGGTGTTAAACTTGTGTAATCTGAATAGCGTAAAATTAGGCTAGTGCAGGAAGATTAATTGAATTAATCCAGGTTAATCTGATGTCAGAGCACTTCAGTGTTTCTTGGTGAGAAAAAAAAAAATTATTGTGTACCGCAAAATTATTGCTATTAAACATGCAATAAAATAACATTGAGTTGTGAAAAATCATACAGAAATGACAGAGTAGTCTTGTACCTGAGCAAATGACTCTTTCAGTGAATCATTCAATAAGACTCAGTTACTGAATCCATATCTGACTCTCTTACTGAACTGACTCATTACTTTGGTGTAAATGTCTCAAAATGAATGTACTCCATGTTTGTGAAAATTAAATCAGTATCATTACTTAACCGGAATTTCATCTCCACTGGGTTTTGGGTTAACCTTCAGAAGGTCTTTTTAGTTGTACAATAGCATTAAAAAACCTCATTACATTAATTATAATTTTGTTTATGCTGCTCAAATAGTGAACCCCCATCCTTATTGCAGTGTTCAAATCAATTATTTGATCTGCCCATATTTTGAAATTTCTATTATTGAAAAAAAAAAGTATGGCCAATCTGTTTTCCCATAACAGTGTTGTTATGTACATCAGCGGAAGTCTGCTCCACATAATATTAATAATCAAGAAAATGCAAAAATCATTTTCTCTAGGTTCTCAGTTTTTTCCATGATAATAGAGTGACACTTTATATACCTTGATTCAAAGGTTTGTGTCTTTTTGTTGTTGTTGTTTTGATTTTATTCAGCAAGGATACATAAAATTGATCAAAAGTTGAGAGTATTTTACAAAAGATAATTTTCTATTCATCAAAAAAATTCTGAAAACATGCATCACGGTTTCCACAAAAATATTATGCATTACAACATAATATTTTTGTGGAAACCGTGATGCATGTTTTCAGCATTTGTTTGATGAAAACACTGATAATAGTAAGAACATCAGCATATTCGAATGATTACTGAAGGATCATGTGACACTGAAGACTGGAGTAATGATGCTGAAAATTCAGCTTTGCCATCAGAGGAATACAATGTATTATAAACTATATTGAAATAGAAAATGTTGGTTTCACTATCTATTCAATTTAACAAAAAATGTTGACGTCTGAGTGAAAGGCATAAGGGGATGATCAAACAGAATGCGCTTTTGCTCTTAAAAACACGAGACGTGTCATCATCTAGCATCAATTGTACTGTATCCAGAGATATATAAATACATATCAAATATTATATATACAGTAAATCCTGTAAATGAGAGACAAAGTCGTCCGGATTAGTTTGGATCAGCTTTTAATAAAGAGGCATCACAAGTCTATACTTGTTCCTTTCTGCCCTTTTACACCACATTTTAACCCTGGTACACGCTGTTCTTGGCCCAAAGTAAAATTAATTATGAATTAATTGTTTAACTCTTTTAAAAATGGGTAATAACGCATTGTCACCAAAGTAATTATCATTGTCTTATTAGGAGGATACTGAGATAAAAAGTATGGAACAGTGTTGTTACGTGATCAGTTGGTCTGGCACACCAGGCTAATAAGGAATGGCCTGAGGGAGGAAAGCTTAATTGCATCTTTCAAAACTACCCAAGAAAAAAAAAATCACTTTATATATATGACTTGTTCCTCAGACATAACATCTGAGCTTTTTCTTTCATTGACGTTTAAAGCTGTCATAACAAGATCATAGCAGACCGTAACTGTCATGCTTGGTGTTCTCACAAAGCACCTGAAACATCAATGTATTGATGTACTGTATTTGGCCCTTACGTGTATGCCTTGTTTACATTCATCACTTTTCTTAGTAACGTGTTTCATCCCTTGCAGGAATAAAGTGATCGCTCTTTTCGTTTGCCCTATGAGACCCACACTCCGGCTTATCCTCAGCCAATTGGAAGAGCCGTTGAGCACTGTAATTGAGTTTACCGTGAACCTGGCCTCCGCTTTTAGCAAACAGACCTTTGCTCTGTCAGACATGACTGATTGGCACTTGTATGTCTTTGTAATTCACTGAGGAAGAAAACCAAGTTTTCTTTACAAAATTCCTTTAGATTGCTCACTTAGCCACCCACACAGCAGCAGCCTCACATTGCATGCAGACTTTTACGAACCCCACCCTGCCACAAAAGCCCAGAGATAGCAACGTTCTTACCTGTGAACTGTTCCACAAGACATCTTCTGTTTCACGCTCTATATCTAATCATTCTTCACAGTCACACTGACGATGGCTTGACATAATGTAATGACAGACAGGATTATAACTGATCGGTTAAAGGACTGCACTTTAGATACTGTATGTCCTTTTGATGAGTATAACCAGCTCATGTATGTATTACTAAAAAAGGTGTTTTGCTATATCCTATTAGCAAAAGTATTTACTACAAAGTAATAAATCCCCATGGCAGTCTGCATAATACACTTCCATTCAAAAGTTTGGGGTTGGTAATATTTTTCAATGTTTTGGAAGAAGTCTCTTGTGCTCACCAATGCCGCATTTATTTGATCAAACATGCAGTGATATAATATAGCTAGTATCATTGTGAAATATTATTTCAATTTAAAACAACTGTTTTCTACATTAATACATAGCCATAGTCCTCAGTGTCACATGATCTTTCAGAAATCATTCTATATGCTGATTTGGTGCCCAAGAAACATTATCACCTTTTAAAAAGGGTTGTGGCACTTAATAATTTTTGTGGAAAATTATGATGCATTTTTTTCAGGATTCCTTGATTAATAGAAAGTTTAAAAGAACAGCATTTATTTGAAATCTACATTCTTACAAAAAATATAAGTCTTTAACTGTCACATTCAATCAATTTAATTAAAGTGTTAAATTGTTTTACTCTTTTTTTTTTTTTTTAAATCATACTGATGGTATGTATGCATGTGTACATATTTTAAAGTAAATTAAAAAAAAGTGTCATTTTAAATGCTACATGTAAATTCAGGCATTAAATATGGATTGTCGTGTTGAGATTTGCAAAAGATTCCATTAAAACCATATAAACATTTGAAAAAATACGTTAAAAAGTAATATTAAAATATATACCATTAAATTAAATGTCTAGTATTGGCCTACAATTTAAATGGAATATCAGCCGATAACCAGTAAGCTACTATCATACATCCCTATAAGAAATTATGTGAAATATTATATATATATATATATATATTAATATATTTTACTTTCTTTCAGTTGGAGGCAGCCAACCAGCTTCTTCAGCAGGCCCAGCAGCCACACAGCTACCTGATTGAGACCGTACGGCAGAGAGACACCCAGATCCACACACTGAAAGACCGTCTCACGCAGTTAGAGGAGGAAGTGAGGTAAAAAGGGAAGTAAATAAGCACCACAGATTTACGGATACATCCTTTTTTTTATATAACTGCACCATTTGAAATCTTTACAAAGCTTTTATTTTGAAAGCATATAGGTGGAGTCTTTATAGAACCATTGCCTTTGTTTTGTAACAATGGTCGCAACGGTTTTTGACTGCTAATATGTTCCAAAGTATGCAGTTGTATTGACTGAGGAAAGATAGTAGGCAATATCTAAATGCATTCCACTTCATTGAGGAGCAAAGGTAATGCACCTGCCAAGAAAGGTCAGAAGCCAGGCATACCTGACAGCTTCTTAGTAGTAGTATACAGTATGTGCGTGCATTCAAGGGTGGCTGGATGCCAGTTTTTCTTGGCTGTGTCACTTATCAATGCCAGATATAATTGTCTTACCTCCATATGCAAATCAGGTTTTCTCCTGTATAAGTGTCTTTAGATGTACTCCTGGGGTTAATGTGAAAAATATGCAAATTGCTCACCAAAATTTCAGCATCGATCTGCTTTTATTAGAAGGCTACTTGTGGCCAGGGGGACTGTTCTTTCATAGGCACATGACGGCATCAAATTTTCATATAACGATAATTGCTCTAGCTTTTATCACAGCGTATTGTATTGTCATGGTATTGAATTATGGCTGCATTTCTGCGGTTCCATCAGCGCCATCTACGCTGCATCTGAAATCCAATACTTCCCTATTATATAGTATGCGGGGGGAAAAAAACAGTACACCGAAACAGTAGTATGTCCGAATGCATAGTATTCGAAAAACAGTCAATTTTAACCGTTTGATGGTAAAGTTATAAAAATCTAAATAATTCATATTAAGTAATTATTAATGGTATTTTGAAGTCCGTACGATAACAATATTGTGCATGTTCATTATCGCAATATGTCGTGTTTCTGTATATCGGCACAATGTTCTTGCTATGGACAATTTCTGAACTTTTCTATTGAACTGATGGCGAGGTTAGTCTTTAGTGAATGTTGCCTGTCCTGTGGAAACGGGTGCTGTGCAGTCAGTGAGGTGTATGAAATTCATTTATTGCCGGTTTGATTTCACATTACTTTTATTTGAAGAGGTTTCTTCTTAACTGCTTCTGTCAAGCCCTACAGGTTGTGTTTGTTTACAGCTCAGTGGTTAATTCTGTACAAATGGAGTCTCAGATAGTACACTAAGAGATAAATACCTCCAACTCACTGTGTTTGTCACCACTCATTACTCATGCGATATGTATGACAAAGAGGTATTTCTGTTGGAATACAGTTTTTGTCATGTATGACCTTCAGTGCTGCATTTCACATGAGGCGCTGGTGACTTTTAAACGCATGTAGGTTGATTAAAAGACTCTAGTTATGTTTCCATCCAAAGTTGTGAATTTGACTTGTGCAAAATTGAAATACCGCATAAATAAATGGAATAAAGCACTGTTTCAATCCAGCGAGTCAAAGAGAACAAAATTGTCACTTTCTGATAAACTGGTGCCAAATATCACTACGAAAAATGTAAGTTGCTGCAGTAGGAGAAGCTACTGTGGGTCTTTTTTCGTATATAATAATAAATGACTTGCGCCTCAAAGCGCTCAGACGAAACACAATAAACGCGGTAATGTTATCTTGCTTTCGGAGGCGGATACCTGCTGTTTGGGAACACAGTCATGTAAGACAGTTTTGTGAGGTAATTATACAAATCATTTTGATGAAAATCACATGACTTTTTTAATGCGCATCGAGGAATTTATTAAGTAAATGTGTTTCCATAGTAGTTTATGTGCATTTCTTATCAGATAAAAAAAATGGGTAACGCTTCCTTTTACAGTCCTGTTACCTATGTACATACTATGTACTTATTATAGTAATTACAATTACTGGGTAATAACTAGCCTACCCCTACCCCTAAACCTACCCCTAACCCATGTACTTACCTTATATCAGCCAGTACTTTCTAGGTAAGTACACTGTAAGTACTGTACTGTAAAAGGAACCGTTACCAAAAAATGTATCCACCTTAATGGAGCGCAGATGTGTTTTATACACATTTTTTTTAATTTATGCACACCGTTCCCATTCGTCATTTTTTTTTTATGCGATAGCCCAAAATCTGCATACAAATAGATAGATTCAAACATATGTGTCATCTGTATTGAATTGTTTGCAGTTATTTACATTTCACTTATGTGCTTCTTCACTTCTTCATTTCATATTGTTCAATTCTTTTGCCATTTTTTCACATAAATATTTTAATATTTGTTACTGCACATATTTCTGTATATAGACAGGACACATTATCCTGAAGTTGTCTACATGTATGACATTGTTTTTTAACACATATATATATATATATATATATAGTTACAAATAATTGATTGGTAGAGACTTCAATGGGTTAAGTAAGTCATGAAAATGAATGTGATAAATTAAATATTTTACGAATTACTAATCAGACTTGTCAGCGTTCAAGACCATTTCTCTTACAGTCTTTTTGAATTTTCACAGTGCACTGCGGAAAGAGAAGAATGCACTACTGCAGGTGAAAAACAACATGGCTGCTGATTTGGAGAGACTCCTGAACCACAGAGAGGTAATTTCTGTGTCAGCAGATTAAAAAGAATTAAGAGGTTTTTTTTGTTTTTTCAAGAAGAAATACAATTTAAATTAGAAAGAACAGAATTTAAATCAAGTAGTTTTTTTTTAATTATACCAAACCCAACATTTAGATTTGGGTTTGTTAGTTTGGCCAGATCAGTGTATGCCACAATACAAATAAATAAATAACATTTTGTCTTGGGTGGACAGAGTTTTACACGATTAAGTTGCAACATTGTGAGTCATACATAAAGTTCTGTGCTGTCTGCTGTACTTACAGTAATTATGTTTTTTGTTTGCTTTAATGACAGTATATTAATCTATAATTTTACAATTGCAGTGGCATTTCCATCCCAAAAAAAAACCAATGGAATTCATCAATGTTAAGGCCTATCTTGATTTATTTAGTTTATCATTTCACACAAGGTCTAAATCAAAGGAGCCCCTTAAAAAAATTAATTTTATTTGACTGACTGGCTTTTGTGTCCGTGGTGTTACATTTTATTACAATAAACAGATCATAGTAGCCACTAACCACTGACTAACTTCATGAGAAAGTTCAATTTCATGATGAAGGCAAGTGTTATATACAAAATACAGAAGTGGTTTGATGAAGAACTTATTAAAACTGACATCATGGGGTGACACTACTGAGTCTGACAGTTCAAATGACCATTCAAAACCCTGATACTGTAACATTGTAAATACTCTAAATACAGAATAACATTACTGATTGTTCAGTCAGAATCTCCCACATGACCTTTTTGTTTTTTGTTCTGTTTTCCGTGAGTAATTGCAGGTTTGTTTAATGTGGTAGTGTGACTGATATTGAAAAAAAAATCTTTTTGAATTCATTCTACATTTGAATAGTTTTAGTCTGTCAAATACTGTATTTCACACAAATCTTTTGCGCTTGCTTTATATCTTTTTAAAGTGGAAAGTGGTCCACTTCGTTCCATTTTAAAGCAGTTTCATGCATATTTGGATGCTTTTAGAGAGTTCAGTAGAGAAGTAGTCAATACGTATTAATAAAATTAAGTACCTACTCCAAGGTACTTAATTAAAAACTGCTTTTGTGTGCAACATTATCATACATTATCCATTAAGGGTGTCCACACATGACAATGTAAGAGAGTAGTTCCCACAGACACTAGCACATAGACTAGTCTAGGTGTGTCCTCTTCTATTGTCATCCAGCCTGCCGTTCCAAATAGTGGTTACACTGTGTACCTAACGCTTACTCTCTTAAGAAGTCCTTCATCAGAAAGCCTCTTGCAAATTAGGAAGCTTCAGGTCTAGTAATTGATCGACGAATGCCTCAGTTTTGTATGTGTAGGATGCCTTCAGTACAGCTCAGTTCAGTTGTGAAAAAAATCCAGTCTCAGGTCAACTGTTTCCCATGCTCAAGTCATCAGATTAGTAATAACCTTGCAATTTGTGGTTGTTTTTGATGACAGACAGCTAATAGATTGCCTCATTGAAGGAAACCAATGTGTAACACCATAATCTATACTTGACCGATGGGTTCTGAATTTAGTTTGTTGAAAGACGCGGTAGGAAACGAAGACCGTGAAGTCAGTGCATGGTATACATTTTTGTGAAAAATGTCCTTTGGTTTGGTTTACTAATTTACTCATTTCCAATAGCATTTATATTAAATGAATGGAGTGATCTTGAATCTGCTCTATTGAAAGGCGCATGAAGGTACACTACACCTCTTCTGACATTCTGAACTCTCTGAATATTAAGGGCAGGGTGTAACTGATTAAGCACCAGTGCAATATGGAGCTATTTTCAACCAAATACTGCTGGCACACACTGTGCCGACTTCACAACTTCCAGTGGCATGTTGGCAGAAAGCATGCAATCCTCACAGACAGCTGCTCCTCACTGGTGCTTTTTGGCATGCCAGCGCATATGGTCGTGCAGTGATAAATAGAAATATTGAATGACTCTTGCGCATCGGGCTGATCTCCATTCGCCGCTGAAGCGGGTGGTCATGTGCTAGCAGGGGATGTTTTACATTGCCGTCGTACGTTAGAATAGTAACCGTTCACGAATAATACCAGTTTATTTATTTATTTTTTGCTAAGTTACTTTTATTAGATTTCTTTCAGCAGTCTTTTCTGTACATTTTTGTAAAACATTCCTCTTGCGTAATATGGAATGTCTGTCTCCTTTTCCCCTGTTTTATTTTAAGACCGAAAGCGTTGTGCTCTTAGGTCAAGTATGCCCAGTTTTTTTTGCAGTATACTGTACCTTTAACAGACCATTCTATATCTGTCACCAGTGCTTTTCTGTATGAAAAGCTTTTTGGCGTCTATGATTGTTATCGGCGTGTTGGAACACGAGCGTGCACAGCAACTCACAACGTGATCTAACATCAGAGAGTCTTTTTCTTTAAACATTTTCATTTATTCACACGAGCCAAGTAAAAACATGAAGGTTTTTTATGTCAATGCAGCCACAAATTGCTGATAAGTTGTAGCTGAGACAAAACTGTGGTTGAACACAAGAATCATAAACATATATTAACTCACTCATTAATACACAGTTGTCAGCAAGTATTTGTTTTTGTTATAACCCTATAGTACAAAACCATATAGTCAGATCTTCATAATGTTTATTTTCTTGTGTTTTTTTCTCTCTCTTTAATACATATGAAGAAAATTGTTGTTTGTTTTGTTTTATTTTTTTGTTTGTTTGTTTTGTTCATAACCTTTTACAATAAGGCCCCATTAGTTCATGCATTAACTAACATTTAACTAACAATAAGCGATACTTTTGTTGAAATATTTATTATTCTTTATTTACGTTTGTTAGTAAAAGTGCAACTGTTCATTGTCAGTTCATGTCAGCTCATGTCCATTAAATAATATTAACTGATACAACTTTAGATTTTTATAACGTGTTAGTAAATGTTGAAATTAATATGAGCTATAAATGCTTTAGAAGTATTTTTCATTGTTAATTCGTGTTAACTAATGCTAACAAATGGAACCTTATTTTAAAGTGGTAGCATATTTTTGTTGTTGCTCCTGTTGTTTTATCATTTTATATGATTTTATGTTTTAAATATTTAAGTGGTATTGCAGCTTCGCTGTTTTTAAGCAACATTTAATCATCTGTCTAACTTTCAAAATATGAGATATTGGGTAATTATTTTCTTTACTTTCTCTTTTAATGACATGTATGCAGAAACGTTTTGCAGTATCCGTTCTCAGAACTGTATTACGCTGATGACTTCAGAGTAATGAGAGAGCGCTGTGTTGTTTGAGGGCGTTTCCTTCAATTGATTCAGAACTATTTACACTAAAAGCAGGACGTCTCCTGTGCTTTGTAGAGGTGCTCTCAGGGCACCCCTTGATGAAGATATGCCTCCAATTACCATTGCACCTTTGAAAGTTTACATACATGAACCCCCAGGCTGCTCCAGCCATGTTTATGTGGTGTATCGTGAGCCACTTTCGATTAAAAGAGGAGAAAGAAAAAAAGTGTCTGCAAATAAAGCAATCCACCTTATTCTATAACATAAGCGCGGGTGGGGGAATTGTAACTTGAATGTGTTGAGGCTTCCAGTTATTTTTAGCTATACAAAAACTGTCCGTTATGCTGCTTGTTATTTTTGTTATTCCTCAAGTTATTTACTCTATAGCAGCAAATGAATCGGAAATATCCGCACAAAATAGCTTACTTCCGCGTTGAAAAATAAGGTGGATTTAAGTTATTTATTATTCTCGCTCATGTCATTCCAAAGAGAGTTTTTGAAGGAGCTCCTTTCCATACAACGACACTGACCATGTCTGTCATGCTCCAGTAAGGAAATGTGCCATAAAAGTACTATATACTGTTAGTAGTTTGTATTGAGGCCCTTTCACACTAAGAATGATAACGATAAAGATATAGTTCTAAAAATCGTTCTTAATATAAAAGAATAGCAGTCCAACCCACAACTATAACGATGACGGCATAATGAAACAATATCACTTTCAGAACAATTTTTCCTGCAGATGAACGATAAAAACATTAACACTGAATGCATCCTGCTTTAAAGAGCTCATGCATTTAAAGCGGCATACGACGAAACTGCAGCGCGAGCTTATAGTACAGAACAATTTCGGGGAGAGCAGAGATTAATTTTTTTTTCCTTTTGTGAAAACATATGAGTGAAAAACAGTGTTTTGAATGACATGAGGATGTGGATGTTATGGAATGTTGACATCCAGCATCAGGACACGTTGGATGTTTGTGTTAGCGGTTTTAGTTTTAATTGCCAATAGCACTGCTGGCACAACAAGACTCCTGTCAAAAGCTGCTGGTTCTTTCTTGCCTGTTGTGAAGGGGAAGCAAAACTAACAATATTCTGGGAAGGAGCTCTTTAACCTTCAGGCTTCCACTGATTTGTTCTTATCCTGTTGCAGGAACTTTCCGTCATGAAGCAAGTCCTTATTAGCATGCGCTCACAGCAGCACGGTGGACCTCTGTCTCTCGAGGCCGATGGTACGGGGACCGCTGTTCACAGACCCAAAGTTTTAAAAAGCACAGATGAGGAGCAATACAACTATGGGCCCAAACCCACAGTGTTTGTAAGTTTTACTTGTCTATCCACAAAGAGAGCCTTTTAAACAGCATTTTAGGACAAATAGTATCTTCTCTGGGAACCAAAAAGGAATACATTTTAAAGTTATTTTGAACATTTTTGTTTTATTGAGCCTGCTATTTGAGCTGAGATTTACTTCACGTTGACTTTTACAAGTTTAATAAAATGTTTTACTCGAAGCAAAGTCCAAATAAATGGTCAATGATATTTAACACTGGTGTTTTTTTCTTTTCTTTTAACAGACCAATAAAGAAGTCCCAGAATGGTATAGAAAACTCAAACGGAAAACCAAGTAGGGACTTGTTCAACTTGTTTAAGAGTTTAAGGATGCTCCATGTCATGCAATCACTGATGAACTCTGTTTAAGTTTAAGACCTATTACATAACTAGTTACACAGGTTTGTTGTGTAGTCATTGTAAACCTAAAACTATGATTTATTTTAATAGTAATAAACCATTGTATGTTGTCCAATAGGTGTGTGGATATTTTTATTGAATTTATTGAATTTTAAAAAGTATATCAGGTTGTTTAAACAACAGTATCTGAATATAAGCATTTTTATTCTCTATCCCCTGTAAAATAGCTCAGTAGAGTGTATTATTCGATGGTAATAAATCTGGATCCTTCTGTTTTGATCCGTAAAATGCGAGACACTGTTGATAAAAATAGAGGAGCGTGTGCATACCTTAATCGCAGCAGCATTGCGTGCTTATTTGTGTCATCTTAAATGTTACACACCACAGGCTCGAATGTCCAACAAGAACAGCAGTAGCAGTGAGCTGCATGTTATTGATGCATTTCATTGATTTAGTCTGCTTGAGATGGATATTTTTAGTTGCTGTGTTGTTACTTTTAAATTTGAAATTATGGTAAACATTTATGTTGGCTAATTAGGGATCATATTGTAGGCCTAAGCCTTGTTTCCCAGCTTTATAAACGGGAAGCGCTGGCAGACACATCTTAGCATATGTACCTTGTTCAGGATTCCAGTTCCATTAACGATTATTTTAGTGCTTTCAAAAAATAAGTATTTGAAGAAAAGAAAATTCTTATTGCATATACCTTAACAGTTAAATAATTGCTAAATAATTAGATATGTTCAGATTAACAAACCAGATATTGGCCTATTAAATCAGAAATACATTTAACAGTTCAATAGAGAAACTTATTAGAGATGATGTAATGTCGTCGAATATGGACCTGTATGCATTAATAAAATTACAAAACAAGTCGAAATGTGAAAACATTTATTCATTCATTTTCGTTGAATAGCTCTTATTATTGCAAATGGTATAAAAGTGGCCTATTTTAAAACACACGTCATCTAAGTACAGCATAGTGATATTTGCGTTCTGTACGCAAGTAACTGATTCACAAATCCAGTAAGATATTCAGAAGTGTTTTGATTTACTAAAAGAACCGGCTCATAAGATTTGGGAATCAGACTACCCTGACCACGATGTAGGTTGTTGAATCACTTAAAAGAACCGGTTCACGAATCGTTCGTTTGGGAATTGACTGAATAATAAGAACCAAAATGAACTCTTCACTGGCTTCTCTGCTATAGTTATTTTGAATAATGTTTAAATAATGTTATCATCACAAAATTAACTTTGAATTATAAAAATAATAAATAGGCTAGCCGTCAATTCGAACACATTATCGCTGTTAGTCAGTGGTGATTTTTATATTGGCCTTATTCTGCACTACCGTCATTATTTAATGCTAAGGGGCAATACGTGGGGCTGGACATGTATTATCTCCGGCTGTTTTGACGGGCTTGTTCCGCTGTTACAGTATCAGCTGTAGTAAAGGTGTAGCCGTCTCACTTTCTCAGTCCCTGACAGAGTCCGGCCCCGCCCTTTCAGCGATTATAGGCTACATATATCCCGGAGCTCCAGGAACGGAGCGAGGCAAAACGGGATATTACTACCGAAAGCGCGCACACATACACGCACGGGTGTCATTCCATGCACCATACACTCACTTCCCCTTCCTCGACGTCTATCAAAACACATTTTGCGGACGCTCTCTCCGTCACATCCACGGGTTTATGGCCGCTACGCTTCTAACGATGAGCGCTGCGCTCGCACCGGGACAAGATGACTTTCTCTCGCTTCTCAAGCCCTCACTATCCGACGGCTTTCAGGAGGACTCCTCTCTGTTTTCCTTTGAAGGCAAGAATCCCGATACGGAAAGGGGCTTATCACACGACTATTGTCAGGTAAATTGTTTTTATCAGTTCTCTGAATGGTGCTCTCGAAGACTATGAATTAAAGATCATATGCCTCAGTCGTGTGAAAGGTGGGCCATTAGATGATGCGGCATGCTGCACGCCTGCAGTCCCATCAGCATCATGCCCCATTAAATGCGTTCAGCGATGTGCGAATCTTTCATTTGAGGAACTTTTCTATTTCATAGTAGGCTACATTTTTTAACAACAAAATGCGTTTTTTTTTTAATAATAAAAAAAAATAGATTAGAATCTAGACGTAACGATAGCTGAAATGTTGCATTTTTAATTTTGTCCCTCATCTAGATTTTTCAAACCTCACATCCTTCAATACACGCTGGCCAATTTTACTTTGCACTTTACCATGATAACTTAAACATATTTCAATGTAGCCTTTAGTCAATTGTGTGTGCAATTTAATTTTTTTATAACAACCTATAACAGTCATTACCAAGTACGTTAGAGAAACAAAACAAAAAATTGTGCTCATTTACACTGCAAAAAAAGTTGCTGCCTTAAATTTTTAAGTAGACCTACAATCAACTAGGATGTTTAAGTCATTTAGGCCTACACAGTATGTTAACTTAAATTACATTAAACTGATTTTTTTAATTAGCCGAACCTGATAAAAAAGTTGAAAATTGCTCAACTTAATTTGATGAGTTAAAGCAATGTAAAAAAAAACGGTGTCATAACTTATTGATCATATAATTTTTCAGTAGCCTAATAGAATGTGTTTTTCTCTCTCTCTCTCTCTCTCTCTCTCTCTCTCTCTCTCTCTCTCTCTCTCTCTCTCTCTCTCTCTCTCTCTCTCTCTCTCTCTCTCTCTCTCTCTCTCTCTCTCCTAAATGCTTTATCATTTACACCATATCAGGCAGAGTTACAATTAAGATCAGAAATTGATTTTAAGATTTTTTTAAACATGTTCTGCGTTGAGCTTTGTCTTTCCAAAGTTGTTATTAAAGTTGGTTGACTTCTAGATAACTTCGCGAGTTCAGTGCTCCGCTTATCCCATGTTCTCCAAATAGTAAAAAACAATTACCTTAGCCGTCATTACTGTCACACATAGCAGCATAAGCCTATAGTTTGAAGAAGTCGTTGTTCAAGATTTCAAATCAAAAGCGTCCTCAATTGTATAATCTGTCATTATGCACTTCAAAGGGATTTGGTGATGTTTTTTGGGGGGGTTTCCCCGTGTCTGTAATGCAGGGGAGAGTCTGGGCTGGGTCGGATAGCGCACAGGCTCATGTCAGTTGCTTGCAGTTGGTTTCTTGGCTACCGAACCGTCAACAACTGACTCTCCTCCCTCCTTCCTCCTCACCCACGCGCGCTGCTCTCGCGCTCCGAACTCAAACTTCCCAGCAACGCCGAGCCTCAATCTGAAAACTTGTGAAAGAGATACATGTCCGGCGAACAGCTGGAAGATCTAAATCCAGAAATAGCTATGCGTAGCAGCCGCGTAAAAGAGCACTTAAAGAGCTCTGGCATTCCGAGTGTAGCCTATATGTAGGCTATGTGTGTGAGTGTTTTTATTTTCCCTCGTGTTTATTCCTCTAGTGACTCTATAGATGTTACATTCAGGAGGGAGTAATGAATGAGTCTTGATTTATTCTTTTTTGCTGATTACGGTTTTATGATAATTGGTTGGCATTTATTTGGAAAGGCTGAGCAATCTCTCCAGCATGCTTTCCACCTGTCAGCAAAGTCTGTTTTGAGCTTGTGGTATGAGCGCTGTTTTACAGTCTTAGGTGGAATGTAGCAGAGACATATCGAAGAAGACTTGATAAATGCTTTACCTCTGACTGCTCCATACAGCAACACAACCGCTCCGTGCTTTCAATATATGCTTGATCACAGATCAGGTGTTAAAACATCAAGTCCTGATTTTTAGGTTTCACATCTTCACACAAAGGTTTTGCAGGTAAATATCTATACCTGCAAAATTTCTAAAATTGGTGGTAGGCCTATCTCATGATGTAGGTAATGCTGTTATAGCCAATAAACATAATACAATGGCAATTTAGATGAATTGAGGTTTTACACAATATTTACTTAAAATTTGCGGGGGGGGGGGGGGGGGGGGAATAAATTATTTATTATTAATTGATAAGATTTAAAAACTGGGAAAAGTGACCTGTTAATCGGCCAGCAGACATGGTTATAGGTTACCTCAAAATATCTATTACTCAGCCTGCATGGCCAATAAATTGGTTCATCACTTGATGTACATGACGTTTTTCGCTTTACCTGATCCAACATGCTTGCCTGTTCATATAACATATTGATATTCATATTCCTAAAGAGGTTTCTTTTTAGTTTTCTTTTTAGAAACCTTTAGGTTTCTCCTTAGTATTATACATTCTAGATGAATTGACTGCTAGCTAACTTGTTGTGTTAGCAAGTCCAATGCTTATTCCGTTTTCTCAAAATACAAAAAAAAAAGTCATTACCATACTCATAACTGTCGCACATAACATAATGTAAAATAATTTCAAGACAAAGTGTCCTCAATTGAAGAGGAAGTAAATAAATATCCGTCAAATACTCCGCCTGGCCGATAAATTGGTTTGTCGGTTTATTTGTACTTGTTCCAACATGCTTTTCTATTCATATGAGGGACAATTATATTTTTTAATCCATTATTTCATAACAAAGATTAGCAAATAATCACATAGCACAATTTTAGCACAAATGCTAAAATGTGTTTTCTATTATTATGCTTAATATATTTATATTGTAAGTAGTCCATATATTTTTACTCCAAGCCAATTTGGCTTAGCTGAGTAAGCAGGCAGGTTGGCCATTGTTGTAAGACAAGAGTAAGTGAATATTTGCATTCTTGCAAGCTTTTCTAAAATTTTATGTATACTGTCTGTGTTTGTGCTCCGCCAACACAAGCAGTCCCAGGAGATCCTGCCAGCTTTGCTGACAGAAGCAGCGTATGCAATATTCCAGTAGTTATTATTCTGAAATCTGTTTACCTTGTTTGCATTTAATGGCCTTTGCAACTGCATTTACAATTTTATGCTTCTCTCTTTTGCTCTCTAGGCTAAATTAGAGATGGATAAATATCTGTCTCCACAACCTATGGCTCTCCCCGACTTAAAGAAGTCAAGACGAGAGAGCATCTCTGTAATGGACCAGTTTTTCGGAGACGACCACTGTTCCCCCTACAGCATCAACATGAATGTCTTCCTGCCCGACATTGCGTATCTAAGAACGGGCTTGTGCCGG